TGAAATGAACAATAAGAAAATATTATAGATTTTGTATTACAGCATTCTTAAAACACAACACAACAGGAAGAACCGAAGAACCATATCCGTTTGCAGCAACAATGCAACACCGTAACCTGATCAGAAACCGTCCTCAAAGATCTGAACTCTCTGAAGCCTTTTTCTCTACGGTCTCTAAAATTCTTGAACATAAAAGAGCAAGAGCAAAGATAATAGGCAACAATGAGAATTTGATAGGACCATTAGCAGCCCTGCGCGCAAAATCATAATTGACTGCAGTAACAATGCTTTGGGATATGGCACTAACTAAGCCAATGAGATCTGCAAAGGTACCAAAACGCTTGTGATTCTGAGAGCGAGATGGATAATAAAACCAGGGTATCGTGCCCTTTCGGCACTTGAAGGTGATTCCTTCTTTTACTCCCTTGTAGAGCAGCCCAATGACACAAAGAACCAAGGCCAGGAGGGAAAACGCCATCGCCATTAGCGCATAAAGAGGCTTATGCGGCGACGAAAGCTGGTCAAAAACAGCTGAGGGAAGCTCCAAGGTCAAGTTGGAGACCACAAAAATCCACTCCCATAAAGGAACCTATGGGACATATTGATTATTCAAGTTAGCTAACTACTAATTTAAAATGTTCCTTAAGGGATGTCATAATGGTTAAAATTTTTAATTTTTAATAAAAATTTTAAATTCAAATACATTCCTTAATAGGGAGAGGTTTGGAAATTGAGATTATATATTATTATATAACCAATCATCCAATATTAAAAAAAAAAACTATTTTAAAATATCATGTTTCCCTCATGATTATATGTAATTAAATTAATATTTTTTTTTATTTTTATCCAACACTAAGCTGCACGATAACCATACATCTTTCACGAAAAGATGTTAGAATATGAAATTTTGAGTTCTATACTTAAGGATCGCTAATTTGTTCACCCCCACAATTCTCTAAGTTAAACAAAAAATTTAATGTTCTATTTTGGTTTGGCTATTAACTTTCTGTAATTCTGACCCGATCTATCGCAAGCATTGCCTCTATTTGCTTCAATATCATATCCATTTTCCTGAAATATAACAATTAACAAGTCAATAGGATAATAGTTACAATTAATCTCTCATTGAGGTCATTGGGCTTGGGCCCTCCATCTGCCCGATGGTGAGAAGAACACATCAATTAACATTTTCCCAGGAAAATGAGAACAAGTTTCCCGAATTACTAGAGGCGTTTGGAATTTGTAACTCACATATATTTTTATCAAACAGGTTCCAAATATTTGAGCAAGAGACATTCAACCTAGGGTCATATTGGGAATTTTGAACATCACAATCTCACGCAAACAAAAGTGATAAATAAATTGAGATAATAATTTAACATGATTCAGCTTATATATCTCTTAACAACTCTATGTTTACGGGGAAATGAGAAATAAATTCATAATTAAAAAAAGGTATAATAATTTAAAAACTTTCTTACTCAAAAAACTCTTTAACACTTTAGTTTTAATATATGAAAACTTTCAAAATTTCCTTGATATTCTCTCTTAATTTTTACAAGAATTTTCTCACAATTTCTCCTTTTTTTTTTTTTCTCACAAAAGCTCTCACTCACCTAGTTGCTCTCACTCACTTAGTTCTTCTCAATTTCTCTTGCTTGCTCTCACTCTGCTTGCCCATTACCTTTGCATGCACGGGTATTTATAATAAAAAATCCCAACCATCCAAGCAAGTTTTTCTTTGCCTCATTACCATCCGTCCTTGAATTTCTTTGCTCATTACATGGGTCAACATGTAATTTTGCATGATTTCAACAAAGTTAGGTTGGTGAAGAAATTTTACCATATAAAAAGTCCATGTGTTCACATGGTTGGACTTTCTACCAACAGGTCATGGACTTGGTAGTGTATATAATTGGTTGTGATTGACTGTGCTACCTTTGGGGAATTTTGAGAACTATTGACACACCTAGCTACGAAGGACGACCGCCATTTCAACAGCTAGACAAATCTACTCTACATCCCACCCACATAATGAAAAATGTCTGTGATTATGCTTCTCTCTTAGCTCAAATTAAAGGTACATTTGAAGCCATAATTTTCCAAAAAGAGGCAGAACACTTACAGTTTCTGTGTTTTTTGGCTTCCGCTCCAGTGTTTCCCTTAACAATAGATTTTCAGCCTTAAATTTCTTCAGATCGGACTTCATTTGCTTTTGTTTTTGCTGGACATGCAGACCACACTCAAAGGGGGCAAATGGAATAATCATAAAGATTGATAAATTAAGATATTTATTCAATTACCTTTTTCTTTGTCTTATATGCTTTATCTCTCGCCCTACTACTTTCGCGCTGTTTCCATTCTGCTTCACTAATTTCATTCTCACCTATAATAGTTCTTGTGGAACGAGAATCCGCCGTGGATTTTTCTGCTGGTTGACCAAGTTGTTGCTGGGTTAACGGCTCAAATCCGGCTGCCATCTGATTCTCCGACCTTTCTGCTCCGGAAACAGGCAGTAGACTGACTTGATCTATGGAATTAGATGTCCCAGGTTGGCCTAACTGCTCCATTGAAGGCTGTCGAATTCCATGTGTATCCGCAGGGAGCTGATCATATTGTTGCTTGTTTAAGTCCTCATCATAGCGGGTTGGAATCTGAATCGCATCCATTTTCTACTAATTCGAGGGTTCCTGGGCCGGGTGCTGAAAATATATAAAACAAAGAATCTTGTAGAGTATATACGAGATATTCATCGAATCTATCAAAGAAAATTGGAAAGAATCTAGGAATAAATCAACGTGTAAGGGAATAAAAATTTTCAAAGGCTTTTCTAGGTGATGTTGTCTGAAAATCGAAAGGCCTAAATCAACGGAAAATAATGAAAGACAGAAGACAGAACATACAAATGACGAGGAGAAGAACTATTATTGCGAAAAAAAATAACTTAGATAAAGTGACTGGATCGAAGTTAGAAACTCACAGAGTAGTTGTGACAGTCTCCACCTTCACTTTTCTCCATTTTGCAAGGACAGAAGGTTTTTTCTGGGGGGCCCACCAAAGAGTAGAGGACAAATTGATGGCATGGAGATTTTTTTTTTTAACAAATTAAAATTATCTACGTGTATTAATTAAAAAAAATTCATAGAATTCGAACCCATCACCTAAAAAAAGAAAAGGATCGTGACTTATGATACATACTATTAGACCGAAGCAGATCGTTACTTTTCTGTAACTAGTTCTTGTCCCGTCATTTTTATTTGATAAATATCCAAATTTAGTTCCTTAACTTTTAATGTTAGATTAAATTTATCGCTAAACTTTAAAAACACCAAAATCATCCTTTAAACTTTAATTTAGTTTAGTGGCACCAACTTCATCCTTCCGCCAATAAAATTGCCAGTTGTGACCTTAACTTGCCACGAATTAGCACCTTTTAAATTTAAATAATGACATGGAAAATAAAACATGTATATATTGATGACATGTATCATATCTATTGATGACATGGATCTTATTTCAGCATCCATGCCAGCCAATTTTCAATCCTAGACTCCCAGTTGATTTTTGTTTTTGTTTTTTTTTTTTTTTTGAACGGATTTACATTTTAAAGGTGGGGGGATTCGAGTCCAAATCAAAGACCAAGGGTGCAACTACCTCGTGGCCCAGGTGCCTAAACTCCTAGTTGATTCATTCTTGAACTAATTGATAGTTTTATTTAATACAGTAATTGAGGGGGCAATTAATTCATAATTAATTCTGTCATTATAAACTTTTATGCTATAAACAATATCAAATTAATTGATTGATTAAACAATTTAGGAAAGAAGATTAAATTCTTTTGATTATGTTTTTCATTTTCCTCGGCGAGAATCCTAAATTAGATCTCATCTTCATCTTTTCCCGCAAAAAACCCAGATCAAAATTTGGGTTTCTCAATAAAATCTAGCTAGTAATATCTCATATCCATAAGGCAATAAGAACACCCTACAAAGTCAAAATCAAGTATCCATTTCAATACTCTAAATCCCAGTACATGGACATGAGAGAAAAACCCAAACATTTGCTCATACAAATGGGAAAAACTTGACTTGTTTGTTGCGATTTCCCTAGGAGAAAAAGAAGGATTAGGTTGATCATCATGCACCATGTCTGAAAACCCAAATCTCCAAGTCTTTATTGCCGCGACAGCAGTGGCGGTGGTGGTAGCAAGGCAACCATGGATCTAGGTCTTTCTCTGTAGAGAAGCAACTTAGATTCAGGCTCTCGCAGTCAACACCAAAGAACCTTGGTTTGAGTGGACATAAGAGGGTCTAGATCTCTTATTTTGAGGAAAATTTTATTTATATATAAAATTTATTTTTTTACATAAAATTTTATTTTTTTATTTTTTTATTTTTAATAAATGAGATTTATCTTAATTTTTAAATAAAAATAATTATTTTTAATAAATATAAATAAATTTTAATTATTAAAAATAAAAAAAATTAAAATTTATATAAATATAATGTATAAAATTTATATATAAATATATCTTTAGTAATTAAAATGTGGGAGTGTATAATACTACCTCTCATCTGTTTTATTAGTTGCACTCTTATTTGACATGCATCATGCATGGGAAAAAAATTCATATAAACATACTTATAGAATTTTTTATAATTGTATTAATAAAATATGTGAGAATTATATTAAAACAAAGAGAGTACTACATCTATAATTTTACTTGTCCCTTTTACCTTTAGATGCAACTTAAAAAAAAAAAATTCAACAAATAATCGATAATTTAAAAACAAACAACTTAATTGCAAGTACTTTACGTCAGTGGCGGGGACCCCCAAAATATTGAAAAAAAAATTATGTTAAAATTTTAAAGTTAAATAAATTCAGTATATAAATTTGTCCATTTTAAAAATTAAATAAAATGTATTTAGTCAAATATTTTAGACTTTAAAAGGAATAATTGTTGTAGAACTTGCCATTATACTTAATTTTTTAGAAAATTAACTCTATTTAATTACTTACTTTCCTTCTCCTATCCGAAACTATTTTTCAATTAGCATTAGGTTTTTTAAATTCTAAACCTTACAAACAATAATATAATCTCTCTTAAATTTTTAATTTTTTTTGAATAAAAGTTTCTCTTCAATTGGATTCTTAAAATTTCTATGCAGATTGCAGCTCTTAGGTAATGCTTTAATATCTTAGAATAATTAAAATATTTATTGTATTATATTATTATTTTTTAAATCTATTATATGGTAATTTGTAACTACTGTTTTGTAGCATAGGCAATGATATAGAGATTAACTCTTCCTATATATATTTTTTTTTTGTATAATTTTTATGTGCAACTTTTATAAGCCATTAAATATGTGATGCAATTAATATCATAAATTTTAAATAAATAAAATAAGTTAATTATTTAAATAATATATAATGTTATTTTTAAAAATTATACTAAAAGATTGTTTTTGAATCAGGACCCTGATTGGTGCACACCCGGATCAACACCCGGGTGTGCACCCCGAAACAAAAAAAGGATCGGGTGGGGTTGGGTTTTTTTTTTTTTTTCAATGGGGGAGTGTGCACAAATCTTTTTCCTTTTCCTTTACAGTAATTATTGTTTTAATTCTTGTACTATTACTCAAAAAACTTTAAATTCATATTTTTGAATTGTTAAGTTTAGATTTTTTAATCTTTAGATTTCACTATATAATTTATTTTATAAATGCATCAAAAGTACAATTGCATAACAGTGAAAGAGCAAGCTAATAAGATCATAAAATAACATATTAACTATAACTTTTGATTAGACGTGAGTGGTAACCATAAAATAGGTTTTCTTATACTTTTGCTTTGTCTTTTATGATTATTGTCTCGTTTGATTTTTATTTTTAAGTTTTTTGGATTTGGATGATTCTACGTATTGAGTTCTAGATATTGGCTTCGATTAATTTAATTAAAAAAAGATAAAGGTAATTTCATCGCTTTTTCCTTTATTTTACAGTATATTTTTTCAATCTTATTCTTGCATCGTTATTTTTATATTTTTGTGTTAATATATATTTACGGTTTGTTCTCCTTCTACCTATAAATTTTGGCTACATCATTGCTTAACCGATCACTACTAGAGATCAAGGTATAATCAACAGACAATTTTATTGGTTATAGTTGAAACTCTATTGATTATCTTTATAATCAACAAACATTACAACAGAAGTTTTTGCCGAATAAACATGAGTCAAAAGTAAATATAATCAACAGAAATATTTTTTTGTCGATTATATAACTAGTTTAACAAACAACATTTTTGTCGATTAAGTAAATTATCAATAAATGCTTTTACATTAAAAAATAGTATAATTGACAGTTGATGTTTGTAGGTTATACTCTCCAAAAATAAAAATAAAAATAAAAAAATTAATTTTGTAGTTATTAATTAAATTATCAAATAAGTAAACAAAATTCAATTATAATCAATCAAGTGTCACAACAATAATATTAATTTAAAAAAAAAAACACACACACTTTGTTAGTGAAGTTCTAATTAAATTATAAGATTTTATAGAAATAAAAAGAGATAAATTGCATAAATCAAAACCAGCAGTAAAAGTTACCTCATAATATGATTTCAAACTTAATAATCTGAAAAAAAAATATTAGTAGATAAAAAAAAAAGTAACTTGTTTATAAATAAACAAAAAGATATGTAATGGAAAATAAGAAGAAATACCTTGAGATGAAATAATGTAAATTTGTTTGAAAGAAGAAAGTTTGAAGGAAAGGGAGAAGGAAAGAGAAAGAAGAAAGGGAGAAGGAAAAGAAAGAATGAAGGGGAGAAGGCAAAGAAAGAAAAAAGGGAGAATGGAGGAAAAAAGGAAGAAAGAATAATAAAAGAAAAGAGGAAGAAAGATAAAAGGGAGAAGAGAGGAAGATAAGAAACGTAGATCTCTTAGAAGGGAAGGAGAAGGAGTGAGCTATGATAGGAGAAGATGTTTGCTAGTTTTATGCTTGCTTTTATATATATATATATATAGAAACTATATACGATGGAAAAGTTGTCAATTATAGTTGAAAATTTCTATTGTTTTAAAATTGGCAAACCACAAAATTCAAATTTTTTTTTTTTATTTAGGAAAGGGCAAGATAAATAATCAACAACCTCAACTGTTGGTTATACAAGGTATAACTGACAAAAACAAAGGCTGCCAATTATGTATGAAATAACCGACAGTTATGGTGTCAGTTATCTTGTATAACCAACAGAAACCAAGGCTGCTAGTTATGTATGAGATAACCGACACTCATGGATATCGATTATTTAAAACATAACTGACAGCTTATTGGTTGTTAGTTATATTTCTGTCAATTATACTTTATGTTTTAGTAGCGAATGTTTTAATACTATAACAAAAAATAATAATTGATAAGAGAATATCACTTTTTATTATGTAACTCACAATAGAAAAAAAAAAAAAAAAACCATTTGTATGTGTACATATAATTATCAAAGAACAAAAATATCTCCACCAGTAAACATTTCAAATTTTAATTTAGACGTTACAACTTCATATCTAATACAAGTAAAAAAAGTTTTGAAGAAGAGTCTTGGTGTTTTTTGTTTGGTGCAAAACATTAACCATTAAATAGAGGGCTCTCCTTCAATTTTAAAAGCACTTTTAATTTAATAATTAGTACTTTATAATTTAATACAATCTAAAGTACAAAAATACATACAAACGTCCATAGTTTTCTTCTGTTTGTTTCTCGGGAAAACATGAACCGGGGTTGGGTATTGTCCTCTCCTAATATGGCAATGCCAGATCCGCACCCGCCTAAAGATAACAGTGGGCTTGAAGAATATGGTATGATTCACAATGGCAATGAGCATTTTCTAGCATGTTTAATTGTAATCAGAAGACTCTCAAAATTCCTCTTTACCCAAAATTCAAATCAATATCTCCATTTTTAGATGCAATTGATTGTGTGTTATAATGTACAATAATGAATAACCCTGTAACTTATCCCGTCATGATCTCGAATTCTCTCTTACCTATATCAAGGCATTGTCATGGTGGATACAGCTTCAGCATTGATGGCTTCGGTTACCTTCATGTTGTGATTTAGTAGTTGGTAAGCTTAGATTGCAAACTCTCTAATTAGTAATTACATACAATCAAATTAAATTACAAATTTTAAACTGACATAAAATTTTATTATAATCCATTTAAAATAAGACTCAAACTTAAATCTTAAAGTAATAAGACCTTCACTTTAACCATTAGGCCAAGACTTCGATGGCCAAAGAGCAAGGAATTTGTATTATTCTACATTGTAGACCCTTGTGATAGGCAATTAATTTTAAATGAATAAATAGAATCAATAGGCTAACCAATCAACTAACTAACAGACTAAAGAATTCCAGCTCAACAAATTCTGTTACGGCTGCAACTGAGCCTGCCAACACAGAAAGTTTGATATGCCATGTTAGCTATCCCAAAATGTCCTGTATCAAGTTGGTCGATTCCAATCCCACCTCATGAGGAATGGCTTGAGTTTGAGTATCAAATAGCTCATTATTAGGAATTTCATTGAACAGATCGTCCAGGAAGGCATATTCGGCTTTTACCCTGATAAGCACTTCGCTGATGGGAAATTGGTCGCTTTGCTTCTTAAGCGATTGCAGCTTATTTTTCTCTTCTTCAACAGCAGCTTCCATTGCCAGAGTTTGCGCCCTCATGTCCTCCATCTCCTCTGCCAACCTCTTCAGTCGCTTCTTTAGCATCATCTGAAGAGAAACATGACAAGAAATGTTAGGCTTTCTAATGGTGTTATCACATCATGAATCAAAAAAATCCAAGCAGGGGCAGACTTACAATTAGTTGCTTCAAGTACTTCAATTTATTTCGAAGCTGATCCAGTTCACTTGACTGAGTTTGCAATCTCTGATTCAACAGAATATTTTCTTCTTTAAGGGACTCGTTTCACCCTTCAATTCAGCAAGATTAGACTTCATTAACTGTTCATGCCCCTGCATTCCAGCTGCTATCTCTTTCTCCAGCGGCTGTATTCTGATGCAGTCCGGTAAAAACCTTGCGCCATGAATATGCCCCACACAAGTCTAGTTTTTGTTCCAGATTTCCAAAAGAAGGAAGCACACCTGATCCAATTAGAGAATTTGAGAAGTAAACTGCTGCTCCGGTATGATTTAGTTTTATGAATTTGATTTTTACATATAAAATTTAACTAAATGATTTTAAATAACAAATAAATAATAATTAAAAAAAA